AAAAAAAAAAAGTTCAGGGCAGCGCCCAGGCCCTGAGTCCGAGCCCCAGTGGTGGTGACCCCTCCACCCTGAGACGTAGCAATGAACACAAAGCTGCTGACCATGAGGGAGGCCTGGCCTTCGTGCAACGCTGCGTGTGCCATCCCTCAGGAACACACACTATATGTGTGATCTACACCAGTGCAGCCCCTTTGGCTGGGACCCTTGTACCCCGCAAGTCTCGTCAGGCAAATACATGGTTACCAAAGCCCATTTCCTCCATGAGTTTCACACCCAAGCCTCCTGCATCTCTCCCTCCTCGTTCCAACCTCAGCACTGATTTAAAACAAAACAAGAGGCTACTAGCCATCCCGTATCGCAGGCTGGGAAATGAGCAGAGGTAGACTGGACCCAAAGTCCCTTGCTTTGAGGCTTTCTTCTGTGTGCTTGTGTACTAGGACTGGGGTTTGAACTGAGGACCCGAGCATCGTCCCTTAGCTTTCTGGCTTACGGCTGGCCCTGTACCACTGAAACTACAGCTCCACTTGTGGCTTTTTGGTGGTTCATTGGAGAAAACAGTCTCATTGATTTTCCTGTCTGGGCTGGCTTCAAAGTTCAGTCCTCAGGTCTCAGCCTCCTGAGTCACTAGGATTACAGGCGTGAGCCGTGGGCACCCAGCAGTTGTGGCTCTGTTTTAGCCCTGAAGCCCTGGTTGCAATTCCCTGAGAGGGAAAGACGGTGAGCCTGGGAAGAGTGGAGACATTACCCAGCAGCCGGAGCTTCTGAAGGAGGGGGATGAAGCCTCGCAGCACGCTGTGGATCCGGTACACTGTGGAAAAACACAGGGACGGGGGCGGGCCAATCAGGATGGCGTCCCTCCCGGATCCACACAGACCGCGCTGTCCCAGGGCTGCGCAGCCTGAGCCGAGGCGACAGCACTAGTTGTGATGAAGATGGCCAGCCGTGGCAGGGCGGCAGGAACAGACCCCGGGACCCGGCACTCCTGGCCTCGCTGCCGCCACGGCTGCTTTTCCTCATCTGCCCAGTGCTTTGTGTGTTTGCCACTTGAAATTGTATCTGTTGTTGCATTTTCATGGAGCTGCTTCCCCTGCCCTCCCCCCTCCCCCCCAGGTCCTGCTTATGACTTCATGCTGACCTTGAAGTTGGCCAGAAAGAAACCACGGCAGCAGGATTTTTTTTTTTTTTTTGGTTTAGTTTGTCAGTGTGGCATGATGGTTCATGCCTGTAATCCCAGCTCTTGGGAGGCTAAGATGGAGAGTTCAAGGTCAGGCTGAGCTACACAGCCAGGAATGTGTCTCCCCAAAAACTCAAAGTTTAGATGGCTACTCTTGGGCGATTGGTGAGCGGGAAGGAACGGCTCATCCAGCCAGGAGTGTGTGCACGTGTGTGGGGTTCCGGGGTGGGGGGGGGAGGCTTACCCAGCCCGAAGTAGATGCCGACCGTCTCCAGGGAGGCGAAGGTGAGCAGGCCGACCCCGAGGGACATGAACCAATCTGGAAGGGCAGCAAAGGTCAGCCTGCAGGCCCAATGCTCTGTTTCCCGACCCCCCCCCCGCCCCGCCTCTCCACGCTCCCCCTGGTCCTCACCCGCGTAGTAGTGATAGCACACCAGCAGGGCCCCGATGCCAAAGCAGAGGAGGACGAAGTGGAAGAACTCGTCTGTGAAGGCAGAGGCAGGAAGGTTACTTCTTCTTTGTCCACTTCTTTTTCTCTTTCTGTTGCGGCTGTGCTGGGGATGGAACCCGAGGCCCGTGCACACACGCCACATCACAGCCCCTTTCTTGATTCATTTGTTTGTTAAAATGAGGATCTTGTTATGTGTCAAGCTTGGCCTCAAACTTCAGGATCCTCCAGCTTCATAGCCTCCTGAGTGTTGGGACTACAGGGATGCACTACCTACACCAGCTTCTCTCCTCCCTCCCTCCCTCCCTTCCCTCCTCCTTCCCTTCCTTCCTTCCTCCCTTCTCTTTCTTTCTTTTTTTTTGTTGTTGTTGTTGGTTGTGGGGCTTGAACTCTGGGCCTGGGCGCTGTCCCTCAGCTCTTCAGCTCAAGGCTAGTGCTCTACCACTTGAGCCACAGCGCCACTTCTG